CTCCCCGCCCGGGCCCCCCACGGCGGCATCCCACGCCTCCTGCGCGCCGCAGCCGATCTGCTGAAGCCGCGGGAGGCAGTCCCGCGCGATTTGGTCGATGAGGCCGAGGACGACCCCGTGATGGTCCATGGCGGTAGGGTTCGAGGCCCCCACGTCGTCATCGCGCTCGGGGCCCGGGAGTGGAACACTCATCCGCGTCGTCGCCGTGTGGGCCTCGAGATTGGAAAAGAGCCGGAGATGCAGCCCAAGACCGATATGCCCCTCGGGCGTCAAAAGCGGCTCGCAGTAGAGCTCCTCCACAGCATCGCCACGACACGCCTTCACAAAGTACGACGCCAGATATTCCTTCGGCTCGGACGCCTGCACGTCCACACATGCGCGAGCGGCATCCGTGAGCAGCTCCGATAGCTTGTATTTCTCATCATAAATTCTCCAAGATATACAAGCAGACATTAAAAAACGCGTATCTATATTGGATCCATATAGGTTCTCTGTTCGGATCGGATTTGGGCTTGGTTAGAAATGGTTCGCCTTATTTTTCAATGCAAAGCGAAGTACTAGCCTTACTACTAAAACGCACAATGGCTAATAAAAAATCACACTATGAGAAGTGCTAAAATAGGAGGACATAAGAATTCATCGTTTATTCAACATGTAATAGTATCGGAAAGCTTACGCCATGCAGAAATATAAAAATGTGTTTTGCACTCTCATCCATTTCCAAGTACGGCCTCATACAGTGGAATATGAGTTGATAGGTACCTGTGATGCATGGCTTCCTTGCAACAAAGAGATCACCAGAAATAGAGGGAGAAAATAAGAAGTCTCTCTCACTCAAATCTCGAGAATCGGTATCGCGTACCGCTTCTTTGGCGCGCTCGCACTCCTGCACCGTCGGAACGCGGTTCACGCCTCAGTACCAAAACTCATCACGTGGGGAATCCGCATCTTCTTCGTAAGCGGCCCTTCCTCCGTCGTAGTGGTGGATTGGGCCTGATATCATGCCCAGAAGTTTGTCAAAGTGAACCCCCTCCCCCGATTCCCCCCCACCTCAGGGCCATCGTGTCGTATTAATGGGCCATCAACCCACCACGAAATCCAAGCCCAAGGTTCCCCCGGTTCCTCCTCACGGCCTCCCCTGTGAAAGATAGCAGGAGGCCCAGAATAAAAAGCCCCCATCAATCGAAGCCTGCGGAAAAACATTAAAGGGATCCATCCGGCCTGATAAACCCGTATTCCGGTTAGCATCCTCAGGGAGGTCGTGGAGGAGCTGGGGAGGAAGGGGATTGCATGGGAAGTACGACAGGAGCGACACCGAAAAAGACCCTTGATTACTACCTCTGAAAACCCAAATAGGGTCAACCTCGCAAAATCAATGGTAAAGAAGATGGCAATGCTATACAAACACTCACAAAAAAAACTTAGCATTGAAAGTGCCAATATTGGTCTGAAGAAACACCATTAATATCGCCTCGAGAAGCCTTTCCATTCCAAAGGATGTATTTTGATGCCGGCATACCAAAAACAGCAATTCCAAGGCACAAATACTAAAACTCCTTTTCAAATGACTTTACCACTTCCCATAAGCTAATGAATCATTTAAATAAGCGTTTGTACGTTCCTTTTGACGTATCAAGCATTTCGAGGTATTTCTGCTGTAGCTCCTGCTCCTCTTTCTTCTCACGCTTTACTTCCTCCACGGGCCTCAACAACGGCACCCCGCAAGTCTGCTTTTCCACAAAACGACCACTGAGAAGCTGCAAGAAGTTGGGATCACTTTCCACCTCTCGAGCAATCACGACATCCCCATTGCGCGGTGTCCATGGGCTGTAGTTTGTATAATAATTACTAGGAAGCATAAACATCTGGGATCGATAACGACCGATCGGGGTGCAGTCGACAAGATAAAGCGTCCCCTCCGCGGGATCAAAGGCATGGTAATAATGTGTTTGATAGTAGTCCCCCCACACACCCAATACGCCTAAAAGAACAAGACCACGCCGAATCCAGGTCAGGGCATTCTCACTAAAAAACTCCCCAGATCTAAACCATGGGGCCATCTAGTTGAGCTTGATCTCTTTTAACACCTTGTTTTACAAATAATATGAAAAGGAGAAACTATTTTCTACTTTTTCACTTTCTAAAACGATGCCTGGATCCGAGAAAAAAAGCTCTTCACCATATGATTCAAATCAAAAAATGAAAAGAGGAAAATAAACTACACTAATGTCCATACTCCTTTGAACCTTCTAACCTTTCTCTTATTCATTTGTTCATTCTATGATAATTATATTCTGACAACTCGCATTCTGCTGAGGATTTTTTAGGACATTGTCAAATAATTTTTGCAATATCCATAATATCTGATATGATTTAACTTAGTATTATACACTACTTCTTCTCTTGTATCGCTTCTAGAAACATTTAGCTCCTCTTGATACCCCTATTCCTTAATTTGTTTGATTCTGCTATGCTTTTGCTCTGGCGAGAAATGTCCTTCGGTTTCAGTCGCGCTATCTCCAAACTTGCCCGTACAATGATGCATATCTCTATCCAAACTACATGAAATACTAAAGGAACCCAGTACAACAACGTCAGGAAAATTCCAGATTCATCAAAATAGTTGACACCAGACTCACGGAATATTAATTTACCGTACTTTCGCCCAATACGGTTCAGCGGAAGAGCTCCAAAGGCTAGTATTAAAAGGAAAATGCTGAATGCAAAAAGACGCTCCAAGGAATAAGGACGAAAAATTGTTTTGTATACCGTAAAGACAATAATGACGATGTGAAAAACAGCCAAATAGGCAAAAAAAGGCTCTGACCAATTCACCGAGTGGTAGAAAAGGTTCATCTCTTGCAGAAACCCCTCCCAGAGACTAGAGGACTTTTCTGACTGAGTGAAGGAAAGAAGGATATCATCCCAATGGATAGCCTTTAGCAATTCCGCGTGAGAGTCCTTAAATAAGCTTATAAAAGTCCCCATTACGATTGGGTAATTCAATACCTATTTCACTAATTGTGAAAAAAAAATGTTTTTTTTTTAAATTCAATATGCTCATCAAAAGTGATTTCTATGTGTAATGGTTTAGATACCAAACCTGGGGATGCAATAAGCCAGTGGTCTACGAACTTGAGCTAAAAGCAAAAGAAATGATGTTAGGGTAGCGGACCGCATCTTTTCAAATATCGCAAAATATTTCCACTAAACATCAGAAATTACCGAGAGTAGAAATGGTAGCTTTAGAAAAAAAATGAGAACGCAGATTTCATTATCAAAAGTTTCGCCTGAAAATCTGCAACTCAGTGAACAGTCTTTAATTACTCGAGTTCGGCATGCCCTCCCCCCTCCCCCCCCCTTCCATTCAAGAATAATCCGAAA